GAATTGTGAGCACTTGTTTTATGCGGACGACGCAAAAATTTATAAATTAATTGAGTCCCCTGATGACTGTGTAGCCCTTCAGGTCAATGTTACAAACTTTGCCTCCTGGTGTGAGTCGAATGAACTCCCACTGAAGATTAAAAAAATGTGAATACATCAGTTATTTCACGAATCGCTCCCCGATTACCTTCGATTACACAATTAATGAAACAACTCTAACTAGAACTAACTCATGCGTTGATCTAGGAGTAGCTTTTGATCGAGCCCTAACATTTCAGCCACATATTGAGGGGGTCGTAACTAGCACTAAAAGAGTACTTGGGTTTATAATTAGAACATGTCGTAGCTTTAAAAACAACACAGTCCCTCGAATATTATTTAATAGTCTTGTTAGATCTAAACTGACCTACGGTAGCATCCTCTGGTCTCCTCTGTACGAGAAATACATACAAGTTCTGGAATCCATCCAGAAAGGATTTTTGAAATTCCGAGCCGGAAGCAATCGATTTAATTTCCTAACACTTGAACAACAAAGAGTCAAAACGGCCATCATTTTCGTAGTAAAAGTACTCAGGGGTATCGTTGATGCTCTTGAGGTACTATCCCAATTACACATCAAGTTCTCTCGACCCGCTACAAATCATGCATCTACCTCCCGAGAGTGAGGAACAACCTAGCTTTCTCATTTCTAATCCATAGAGCTAGTATTGCGATTACTTTTGTTGAGAAATACATTTATGCTGACGAATATTGCACCATAGTGCAATGATCGGTGCGATGACCGCGAATGCGATAGCACAAAGAAAAATGAAAATGCTTAGTCTGTAAAATTGTCAAGCAAAGCTCTATTATAAAAGGACTGCCTTGCGAGAAGCAGTCAGTGGTCGACATGTAGTTGTCTGTATTGAGTCTTTGAATAAATTCATATATAAAAATCTACCTTTTTTATTAACAACTTTTATGTTCAGCCGCTACCCTAACCTGGATGTGTTGAATGATTCTATGGACTCGCTTTTAAAAAAGGCGTATAAAACTGTCATCGTTCATATTGAATTTCCTGCTCTTGTATATAGTTTAAACATACGATTATACACTCGCCACGTCGCATATGTTCTTCGATTAAAGTTCTCATTATGTTGTTCTTTTACCGCGTATTACTACCTAGGTTAGGATAAACTAATTGTAAGTTTATTCATTTACTACTTAAGTCATGTAATTGGCCTCGGCTGTTTGAATTTCATCAAGTAAATAAATAAAAAATAAAATAATACTCAAAAGACGCAATACTCGATTAGACAGATTCAAAATAGTAACAGAAGGGACAGCTCGCTTGGGAGCTAGCAATGTCGCAATCGGGCTTTTAACGGGTCGGTGGGAAGGGGAGCCGGGGAAGGATGGATACGCAAGTAAGCAAAGGCACAGGGGGGAGGGCTTATCAGAACTAAATATCTCAAGAACAACAAATGGGCGCTAGCTATTGTAACGGGATAGCACCGTCGAGTGACCTCAGGAGGTCCTCGAATATTTACTCTACTCGATGGCACGGCTAGCACGGGGGAGAGGAGAAGGGCATCTCATGGAAGAAGGTTCCCCAACGCAAATGGCTTCTTACGATATTACTTCGATGACTACAGTTATTCGAAAGGCGAACGGGGGAAAAGAGGGTAGCTAAAAAAGGGCGCAAGATACCAAAAATAAGGCGCACGCAACATACCACTCGGTCCCAAGCCTCTCCAGTAGAAGGCCGATCTAAATCCTGAAAAGAACTACTAAGACTAAAAAAGCCAGTCAATGTGAGACGGCTCGCTAGTGTCCGGAAGGAACCTACGAAATTACAAAAACGCAAATAGAAAAGGGTGCAGGGAAAAGGGCAAAAGGGGATTTTAATTATACGATAATCGTGCTTACTCAATAGCTCGCTACACAGTAATCCCAAATAAGGACTTTCACTCACTCTTTCACTGTTAATCGAAGAAATCCGAAATCACACACTTCGCTCGCTCGCAAACCTGGCTCGAAGTGACGAAGTTTGGAAGTTTTCTGGTTTTCATTTCCTCTGGTGGGGCTCCAGGTCCTCGGTGACTAGTTGAACCGCTGGACTGAGAGGGGGCAACGTGTTTCGGTATTGGTCCGCAGTTTGGCTATGGCAGGGCTCTGGCGCCTTCCGTTGATACGATGCTGGCTGGCCTTTCAGCACCTCGCTCCAGGGTGGCACGGGGTTGGCTTCGCCGCCACGCTGGGTAGCTGCTTGCGCGCCGGGCAACGTACCGGCCTCCATGACTTGTTAAACTCCTCCCGGGCACGTCCGCGGAGTTGGAGGGAGAGGGCTCCTCCGCTGTCACACGGGCCTCTTTACTACCCATGTGACGGGACTGCACCGAGCCTGCATTCACATGGTGAGGGTGGCTGCCTGGCGGGCATCATCTCCACATGGTCTCGATTAGCTGTCGAGCCTCCTGTCCATGCCTTCCCTGCATTTCGATGCCTAAGCAACGTAGTAACTGTCTCAATCCTTCCTTGCTGACTGTTGGTCCTGGGTGATGGTCCTCGATGGCTCCAAGCCAGTGCCCTAGAAGAATAGGGGACTGGCAAAGGAAGGCTGGCAGGAAGGGATCTTATATTAAATACAATGTTCCTAAAACACTAAATATACGCAATAAACAACAATACCTGAGAATATACCTGATACGCAACGCTCGAGGCGAATAGTATCCTCGAGCCAGATAGCGAGGAAGAGTCTGTAGTAACATTTTTGTTACAATATTGTAACGTGACAAAACGACCAACTTCTCAGTATTCCTGTACTGAGAGCGCACTCGTTACAAATAGACGACAAGGACGCACGGCTAGTGTCAGCACTAGCCTATAGATGAAAAACGTCTCCCGAAAGTTAATCCGCGGAAAGTAATCGAAAAATAATCCGATAGAGAATAAGCACTTCTCGCTAATAAATATTGGATTACAATTAGTCAAATACGACATTTCAAGTCAATCGAATGATGATATTCGAAAACCGGAATTACTAGAGAGGATAGTCGAAAATCAGAAAAGGCAAGTGAGTATAGTTCAAGTCAGCGTAACTTAAATCCGCAAGGATAACGCATTTAAAATCGTATAATGTTAAGCTCGATTTATGCCTTCTGGGATAGAGCATATTCATTTCATTACTGATCATAATTGTGTCGAAAGGCTACGGAACATTAGCATTAGCTATTCCGCTTAGACCTACACGTAGAGAAAATTTATTCAAGTTCTGAGGAGAACATAGCGATCTACCTCAGAAAGGCTACGGAACATTAGCATTAAGCTCGATTTATGCCTTCTGGGATAGAGCATATTCATTTCATTACTGATCATAATTGTGTCGAAAGGCTACGGAACATTAGCATTAGCTATTCCGCTTAGACCTACACGTAGAGAAAATTTATTCAAGTTCTGAGGAGAACATAGCGATCTACCTCAGAAACTTCAATTATCGCCATATTGTTATAATCTATAATCCGCGCCGTAATTAGTTGAGTCGCACACAGTGCCATAGCCAATATATAGGTAAAGCGCCACTAAGGCTGTAGGACCAACACAGGCATATCCTCTGTACCTCACATACAGGGCAGAGAGAGATAGGAATAGAAAACAAACATAGCATGATTCATTGACAATCCTTCCTACAATACCGACCGTTATATCAAACGATTATAAGTGACACACGTCACAGAACGACTGTACCGATTAACGATAATTCAATAAATTTTTTTTATTTTATTTTACTTTATCAACCTGTGTCGACTAAATTCTTAAAGATGCCAGCCCCGAGCACTTACCTACATCCTATTTCATACACTCATAAGGAGCATACGAAATTGCACTATCGACAAACGTTACAATATATATTTATATACGTTGTAACGTGGCGTTACATAGCTGGAGGGGATGCCCAGCTGGGAATGACCGAAAAATAAATAAATAGGACTTATCAAGTCGGACAGTGGGTTCGGCGGCACAGTGGTAAGTGCCTGAGTTGGCAGTCTGAAGGTACCGGGTTCGACTCCTAATTAGAAATCATACTTTTTCGAAAACTTCTAGCCCTCCAGCGCCCCCTGGCGGCTCTGTAAATAAATTAATTATAGCGAAGGCGAACCGGGGACCCCGTTATAATGTATTCACGCTACAACATTTATTCATATCCGCTTACCTATGCATAATCATATAGGCATTATAACATAAATACATCTACACCGATATACTCAACCATTGTAACGCTAACAACACGAACACAAATATCACATATAAATCTCACGACTGAACGAGTATCGGTATCAGGCGATAAGAACGCCCGGGTTGTTCAAATAATCAACAGTTCATAATTATTTGCAAATTAATCACTACTGAATCTTTAATATAGATATCATTTCACAACATTCATCGGTTTACTTGAATTTTTTCTAAAATACCAATTTCCTCATTTCAAAATTTCTGATTGCGTACATCGCTCAACATGCAATGAATAAGCAATAAAACAACAGCTGGGCATGTTCCTGGGAATTCAAAAAATAATAACAGGTTCATCCTCTACGATCATTCCTTCAGTCTAAAACATGTTGAACGTAAGATGTGTATCCCTAAACCTGCCCCACGCTGTAAGTGACGCTATGAATTCCCAAAATCGGGGATCTTAGTTTTGATACACCCCCTAATCCTCGCAATTTAAATTATAATTTGCAGTCTTTTAATTGCTGATTCGCCGACATATCATAAAATCTCGGAATATACTCTTGTATATGCTTCTCAAATTCGGTTCATCATATCTTTTTGCGTGGTTGGTACTTTTTTGTACACCTCTTCTTTTAAGTGACTCCATAAAAAGAAATCTAGCGGTCTTAGGTCTGGTGAGATTGTAAGAAGTAGCTCCTCGATAATCCATCTCTAAATAACAGTTGCATTGTTATTGACAGAACAACAGTAGTATTACATGAAAATCTTCCATCGACCATAGTCTTTTTCAATATTGAGGTCACCTTGGTTTTTTAGTCACGACTGCATAGAATACGTGCCTGACGTCATTTAGGGACTGAAGTACAAGCGTAAGACTGCGACAAAGTAATTCGAATAGAACCACACGTGTCATTGCCATCTATTTGACTTTCAGAGCTTATTGGACGTCAGCAGACATGCGCATTAGTTCTTACGAGAATTTTTGTTGGCGTTCACCACGTAAAGTGTGCAGTGTGCATTTCTTTGTTGGCAAATGCGAAATAACGAGAAGTTTTTAACAGCAACTACTACATTTAACGTCTTACAATTATTAACGAAAAACAAAAAGTCATGGCTAACTTGAAGGAAAGGGACACACCCCGCAAATTGATTTACTAAAATATGTATGGAATGACCATGCAGAATATTTTCGAAATTATTGCCGAATACCAGCTGACATATTTAATATTTTACTTTAGATGCTAACTTACAAAACCAAAAAATAAAATACGAATCATAATAAATTTACATCAGCCAAAGAGAAATCAGTTTTAATCTGTAATTTTTGGGCATGAAGAATTCGTATTTTAGTTTAATAGTCATCTTCACAATAACAAAGTAAACAACAATATCAAGTATTGTTGCGGAGGTCTGCACATCTCTAATTGAAATACAACAAGAATATGTTAAGGTAAATACATAACTTTTATTTACTTGCTATATTTAATTTTTATTACAGCTAATTAGTACACTTTATTTACTTGTCATATAGTAAAACACCAAGGTGACTCAACGTTTTGTAACGCATACACTGTTCGATAAAGTTTCTGTGAGTCTGTGGTAGGTGTAGAAATTGTTAGAAGTGCTGGATAAGTCGCAATTTATGCAGACGGTAGTTGATCGAACTGGCGACATTACGTTGATACTGACAGTGCTTGAAAGAACTTCCTGCTGTAGTTCTAATTATAGCTGAATAGATAATAAGCGTTATACAAAAATATCTCTATTTTCGCTTCGAAGAGAATATGATTAATTTGATGTTCGACGTGCTACAGATTGACAATGTATTCTTCGAATACAAATAGTTTTATTATAATTCATAGCTAATGTCTTCTTGAGTGAAACAAATAATTTATGTTTTCTGTGTCTTGCTTAAGTTGTGATTATCATTTTACAGTTTTTTCAGTCTATACTAACCGTTAATTGTCCATTAATTCTTCATTAGGCCCGTGACAAATAACCGATGTTGACATTGAACAAATATAAATAACGCTTATTAATTAAAAACGACCTTATCCTACAGAGAAATTGATAATAAATATTATTGAAACTTCTAAATCTCTTCGTGAAACCTTTATCACAAAAAGATTATATTGAAGAAAAAAAGAAAGACAGAAATACTTTCCGTCAGTGTCTAATTTTGAAAATAATTTCAGATGCCTGAAGCTCAAGGAGATTGAGGAAATGATGCACAAGGATATGAAGAAAATGGAAAATTTCCGCAGCGTATTGGAGTAATGGATAGGAAACACATACAGTTAAAAGCGCTACCGGAAGAAGGAGCAATTTTATAAATGACAAATCTTGCTTGCGGATTTATGTTTTAATTTTATATATAATAATGGTTGATGTGTATGTCAAAATTCGGATGGAGGTGCTTATGAAATTTTATCTTAGCATTTGTGCTATACATATGGAGAAAATACTTTACAACTGTTACCTTCGGCTATACTTTAAGAGTAAAAAAAACCAAATGCTTTTAACGCAGACAATTCATTGCCTCAAAACACAAATCTCGTTCATCCGTATCTTGGTTCACATCAGAGGGTTCCTGCTAATTAATTGTATAATTATAATCTTTGAAGAGCATGTAGAGGGATAAAAATGTCTTTGGGACTATTTTAGTGTTTTTAAACTATAATGAAAAAATTATGCTCTTAAAACCGCTAAAAACGGTACTCGAATTATACATCTAACAATTATTTGAGAATGCATATGGAGAGTGGGAAGTGGGACGGTTTTCGGCCAATGATCAGCGATTCTGACGCCCGTCGAGATTTTTCTTCTTTTTCATTATGTAAAGAGCTTCCTATAATTATAGATCCCATTTAAAATTGGTATAGAGGATACCATAACTACGAATTCGCTGAAATTAGTATACCCGGTTTAAAAAATTTAGACAGTTTTTGTCCCAAAAGTTGTGATTTAATCTATTCTGCTGTTTTTAGCCGATTTTATCCTCATTTTTGAAAATGTGTATTTTTATACGGCAGATTTTACATTGTACTTTTGTCCGAATAGTGGTTTTTTAACAAGTTTTTATCCACTTTATTCATGATATAATATTCTGATGAAGTAGAACAAAATCAGTTTAAGATTTGAACTTTTTTCTCAAGTAGACTTGGTCTAGAGTCTTTCGGAAAATACACAACATAAGACTCGGCAAGGCTATACTTATATGGGCCGCCTAGTTATATCCACGGATAGAATCAAACGTCTCAGAAATGATTCTACTTTGTAAAAATGGTTCGATATATTTATAAATATTTTCGGATATGCTGAATCGATTATCACCACGACTATAAGGTCACAGTGTTTCAAGAGCTTGCGAAAAATCTAAAAATTTCAATTTGATCGTTGTCATTCTCATTGTCATCGCAACGTACTGTTTCTGTTTAAACTACCGAGCGCGCTGCGGTTACACTCTATCTCTCATGCTGTAAATAAGAGAGAACTACAAAACGAGACAGATGGCGGACACGGCTGATGTATTGCCAAAAGCATTTCTTTATGTTATTATACGCGAGACTCTACCAAGTGTCTTGACCATATTTATAACTTTTTAACACGATTAAATTGTGTCCTTAAAGGCCAATGCAATATAATAAGAAATAAGCAATAAGAAATAAGCAATAAGATCTTCAATTGTATATTTACCTAATTCCATTGGATCCTCCAATCAAGAAGAAGAAAATCGTTTTTAAAACCGAGCGTTTACTAAGTCTCTACGATTTTGGTGACGTCTTGGACATAGCAACGATATGGAAGCGGTTGCTAGGGTCTTTAAGGATTTCACGGAGGATTACTATTTCACTTTAAGGATATTTCATATATATTTCACTTTAAGGATTTCAGGATTAAAACACATACATATTATAGTTTATAGGGTTAAACTTCTTTTGGATCCGATGAGAGAGGAACCCATATCACTACCATAATAATACTGGAAGCGGTTGCTAGATTCCATTGGATCCTCCAATCAAGAAGAAGAAAATCGTTTTTAAAACCGAGCGTTTACTAAGTCTCTACGATTTTGGTGACGTCTTGGACATAGCAACGATATGGAAGCGGTTGCTAGGGTCTTTAAGGATTTCACGGAGGATTACTATTTCACTTTAAGGATATTTCATATATATTTCACTTTAAGGATTTCAGGATTAAAACACATACATATTATAGTTTATAGGGTTAAACTTCTTTTGGATCCGATGAGAGAGGAACCCATATCACTACCATAATAATACCTTGTTCGACTAGAAAATTGTGGTGATATGTGTGTTAGCTAAACTACAATATTAATATTATTCCTACGATAGAAGTATAAATAGAAGGAGGCGGATCCTCAGCCCATATGGATTCCTGGCTCATGGGACCCCGGAGAAGTTACACTCTTCCAAAACATTAGTGTTCATCTGTTTTCCAGTAATTCGGAGTGTCATTGTAATGTGTATTAGTAGTATCTGACTGAAATAACACTTTTTATTTAAATATATATTGCAACGCATTTCGTGACCTACGTCTTATCTATGACCCCAACGTGGTATTTCGCGGATCCCTTGGGAGCCAGGTGGATCCTTGCACCAGGCCGACTCGTCGGGCCATTAATTCCTAATCCGCGGCACGTCAACTCCAGGAGTCCTCTCGACCGGTTCTTCCCGCTAGCTTCTAATCAGACATGGTAGAGGGGAACGTGAGAGCGGTGAATCTCTGCAGGAATTAGCCGGCATTTTTGGCAATAACTAACACGGTGGGAGTTAATTCCAACAGTGGCCATTTACTTTCCTCGGCAAACGAGTACAGTCGGGTGATGTATACGAGCGTGGCTCTATACAATTCTAACATAAGTGTTAGAATTGACCTCCGGTCGCGGAGGTCGTCTCTGTTGACGGTGGACGGTTTGAATCTGCAAACGCCAGGGCACGTGGCGAGGCCCGCGGCCCCCCACTTCTCGTGCCGTGATGCACCGGCAGATGCGTTTTATCCCCAGCCGGTGCGCTGCGTGGCCTTGGGGCGGTCGTCTGAACTACACTTACCGATTCTCTCGGTACACCGAACCTTTCCTCCTCGTTGCTCGGGTGGTGGTGGTTGGCTCTTTACCTCCGGATTCTTTCTCCCTCGATTCCACTTGATCCTCACCACTGTCCGTTCCGAATGGCCGTCCGGGGAAAGCCATGTTGCCCAGAGGAGGTATTCTTTTACAAATCGAACACTTTTTTCGAATGTAGAATTTAGATTCTCATGAAAATTTTTTTACAGCTTCTATTCAAGAAATAATGTGACTCCTGTATCACGATTTTTGAGAGAACATTTTTTTTTGATAGGTATATTTATTTTTAATTTCAATGATAATCGAAGAAATGATAATTACTCATGTATATAAAATTCATTATTTCTGGTTTTACTCATTCAATCGATTTCGTTTTTTTTTTAATTCCTTACCGTGTTATGTTAGCTCTTTAATGAATATGTAAATGATCTTCATTCTGTTATTTAAAAAAGTTATTAACAATTTTATTGTTTAAACAATTATTTTACATTTGCCCCCTCAATGAATAACATTTAAAAAAATACTACCGTGTGCAGTATGTTTTAATCTAAAAAACCCACACTTAAGAAATGTGGAGACTTTATTAGATCCGAAAATATTAAATATTTTCTAGTGCGCGGCGTGCGCGTCGCGCGTGGATCATAGCTTGACGTGCTAAAACGTCTCTGAGTAAAGAAAGAAACGAAATAATATTTAATATTTTCCAATCTACTAAAGTCTCCATTGTTTTTAAATGTGCATTTATTAGATTGAGATATAGCACACAAAACAGTATTTTTTGAAATATTATTCATTGAGGGGGCAAAGGTGAAAAAATTGTTTAAACAATGTAAGTGCTAATAAATATTTTAATTAAAAAAATAAAGGTCATGTAAATATTCAATAAAAATCTACCATAACAATGTGAACAATGAAAAAAAAGACGGAATCGATTGAGTAGGTTAAACCAGAGATATTGAATTTTGTATTTAGGAAAGTGTAGCATTTTCTCGAATTTTATTGAAATTTCTGTTTAATATAGTTAATTGAAAAAAATTTTTTCACCAAAATCCCGATATAGGTGTCGGCTAATTTGATGAGGAGATGTTATAAAAAAAAATTCAGAGCATTTAAAAATTCGAAAACTTTTTTTTTTACAAATCCGTACGATTTATAAAAGAATGCCTCAGGTATGTAGGTATCTGACCTACCTCGTTCTGCAGGTATAGGCATACTCTTTATCATTCTTTGTAAGAACGTACGTTCCAGGGTAACAATTTTTTATGTACTGGGTGTCGCGCGTGAAAGTCCATAGTGTCCAGGTGTTCCGCTCCAAAGTTTCTTACGTCTAGGTGTCAGGCGTGGAAGTCTAGGGTGTTCAAGTGTTCTGCTCCGTAGTTTCCTGTATCTATGTGTCGCAAATAAAAGTCCAGGGTGTCCAATGTTCCGCTCTGTAGTTTCTTGTATCATCTTGTGTCGGACGTAGAAGTCCAGAGTGTCCAGAAAAGTGTGTTACGAGCGACGCTTTGGTGCTTCACTCAAACTATAGTATTCTCTCTGTTGTTCGCACAGTCGGAGGTACGTAAATAATCCAGCACACTCTTCTCTCTTATGTTTGCCACACGGCTTCAACAAGCTGGACACCATTAACAACGCTTATATGCATTGAAGATTACATTTTCTTCAAAAATTTGTATATATCTTTATATATTTCTGAAAAAAGGGACTTATAAATTAAATTTATATGCCAATTAACATTTTCGACAACACAATTCTGATTAGCGACATCCTAATGCATTTACATTTTATATCTATGAAAATATAGATTTCAGTGCTTAGAGCTTCTATGTCCCGTTGAGCAACAAAAATTTGTGTGTGATGATATGTGACTTGTGATAGGCAATTTTGAAAATACAATTAAAATGATGGGCCAGTGCTAGAACATATAATAGGCAAACATGTAGTGACTTATGTACTTGGTCTCAATAATCTGATATCAATAATTTTTATTAGAGGAATACACAGCACTCTTGTACTTGGCGTAGTTATTTACACGTAAGTGTTTTTTGGGGGATACATATTGTAACGGTATTTTTGTTTGGTAATAAACGTGAAAACCTTGATCGCGAGAGCAACAAAATATCCCGTCATAAGTACACGAATTCTTGCGAGAGCAGCAATCGAGACTATACCCGATAAAAGACCTGGGCGCCAGGTATCCTCTAGGAATACCGATTTCACGAGACAAGTTATCCGGTAACCACTCTCACGAACATTCGTTCGACAACACACTAGCTCAGCCTGTTCACCGTGGAACACAATGATAGAGGGGCAGGGTTCTTGGATTGGGAGCTAGCGAAATCACGAAAGTAACCAAATAGGATTTCAACAAATCATAACAAAGCCCTTTTTATTAGGATATCAATAAAACAATAAGTGCTGTAGGTTGGACCGCTCGATAGCTAGGTCCCCAATTACGTGAGATACTCGGGCACGAAGAACAAAGTGGTGTACTACAATATGGACAATATTAATAACGATAGTGATATGCCGAAAATCGGTCGCGTATAGATTACAAAAGGAATAGTACGTG